GAAGCCCTTGAAAGAGCAGAGATGAGAGAAAAACATATCTAACTTGCATTTTTAAATTTTTTAATCACAAAACATAACAAGGGAACAAAACAGCAACAGACTCATAGACACTGAGAAGGGACTGTTGGTTACCAAGTGGGAAGGGTGCGGTGGGTGGGTGATAGCAGTGACTGGATAAAGAGGCACAAAATCTCAATCATAATATGAATTAATCATAGGGATGAATGTACAGTATAGAGAACACAGTCAATAACAAACAAATAAATAAATAATCACCTTGGTAGCTAAGTGGAAAATTAGTTAAAAGATGGGAAAAATGAGAAAAATAGGCAAATCTCACATCTCTGAAAGAGGGAATGAAGAAATTCATATATCATCTTTGACTGCCATGCAATAATAGTAGTTTCTATTTGTGGAGAAGCTACCATGTGCCAGATAGTATAGAGCACATATGAGCACTTATAGAAATCATTCTGTTTAATACACATGAACAAACCCTGTGAGCTGGATATTATTACTCTCATTATAGAGATGAGGAAACTGAGGGTCAACAAGGCTCATTAAAGTGCCCAAGGACTTATAACCGGCCACTGGTAAAGCTATGATCTGCATCAGGTTTCATCTGCCCCCAAGCTTTCAAGTGCATTCTCTACAGCTGCCACATTAAATTCTCTAATCTCCAATGAATATACTTCTTTGGGAAAAAGTGTAGTGCTTTTGAAGAAACTCATCTGAAGAAATGCATTTGATCCCCACCACAGTAGGGACTGCGTTCACTGCAGGCAACTGTCCTTCACTTCCCAGGTTTGAAATATAATCATTGATCTCTAGTCATCTTGCTAGACAAAGAATTTTTGTTTCACTTACCCAGATATTAAGAATTTCTGCTAAGAACCTAATGGCAAGCCAACACTTCAGAGGAAAAATGTAATAGCAAACATATCAAGTCTTTAATGTTAAGGACCCATTTCATAAGCACAGAGGTTCTCTGCAAAATATTAGAAGATGTGAGTGGGGTGATGATAATCAGCAGGGTCTCCTGTGTATCTTCTAGAAGCAAAGCCAAGACTACCTTCCAAGCCAAATTAACTCCCCTTCAGCTTTGGTAATGTTACAGGCCTATGATTTAAACAAGGTGGGAAAGGGTGATAGTTACACATCAAAAACATGTGGTTGTAAGACCTGCTTTCTTTCAAACACTGAAGCTCTTAATTGTATACTCTGTATCAAAAAGTCAGGTGTGTGTCGGGTCACAGGGAAGACAGTGTAACTCAGAGAAGGCAAATAGTGACTTTGTGGCATCTTACTACACCGATGGACAGTGACTGCAATGGGGTGTGGGGGGGAGACTCGATAATAAGGGTGAATGTAATAACCACATTGTTGTCCTTGTGAAACCTTCATAAGAGTGCATATCAACAATACCTTAATTTAAAAAAAAGAAGCCATCAAATAAAAGTTAAATTTAAAACCGTCATAATAATCTAGAAATTATTTAGAAATACAAAGTGAATTTTGCAAGTTACTAAACAAACAAACAAAAAGTCATCCAAAAACATCTGTATTCTCCTGGCCCAGGAATTGTGAATTTCTCTCTAGCTACTTGCTGATATTTTTAAGCTATTTCTTGTAACCCACCTTATCTTACTAACCAAACGGCCTATCAGCTAAGTCTCTATATTTTGAGATATATTTCACTGAATCCATATAAATTATTCTCCATTTCATTTAGCCTGTGTTAGAGTACATGATGTAAACATTTATTAATAGTAACCTTAATCTAAAGTAGAAACTGTTAAAGTCCATTGTTATATAGTTAATGAGTATCTGAGGTCTCAAAAGGACAGGTTAAAAAACTATACTATTTATACATCCCACCAGATCTTTTTACATTAAAATTAAAATTATACTAAGCAGCTATTTTCTTCAGGGTGGGATATAAGCAATTCTCCATTATTTGAATAAAAAGGGAAATTAGTATAGTGGATGATCCAAAATAGTACAATATAAGAAAAATATGTTTGACTTTAGAATTATTTTCTATACTATATTTTACCTTTCTGAACTTATTTTGTTTATTAAATTTAGCTTGCAGTTCATGCACAAACTAAATGACAGTGGGAAGCACTGGTATGAAGTTGTAATAAAGTTAGACATACGAATAAATGTAATAATAAAAAAATAGGGTAAGTTCCCAAAGGATATCTGGAAAGTGACTATAAATTATTATCCATTATAACAGAAAATGGAAACTCTCATATGAGAGCATTTCTCATTATAAACCAGGTCAGAAGAAGAACAAATTTTACCTAAAAGTGCCCTGAAGACTTAACTAGAATTTTACAACTGATTTAGCTGAGAGTAAAGACTGAATTATAATAAAGAAGGATGATTGAAATGAATTAAGAGTCTCCTGGAAGGTAAACACACTCCCTTTCATTGGCTTATTTATGCATGAGCCCATGGAGAAATTAAACAAAGAGATACACGTGAAATTGTCTTAAATTAAGGAGATTGGAACTAGAATCCCATGCCAGCAGCTTTGAGTATTCTACCTAATTTTCTTTGAATCCATATAATATTCCACATTGTTCTGCAATCCTCCAGCACTTGGCATATGTTAGAAATACTCTTTGTGCTCTCAGTTTCATTAGCTCTATCTTTCCTTTCAATCCACTATGTGATAACTATTGCTGACACTTACTGAGCTCTTCCTAAAAGTAAGCCCTGTGCCAGCCTCTCTCTGTCATTTAATCCTCATGTGAACTTTGTAAATATGTACAACTATTATCTCCATTTTATAGATGGGAAGCCTGAGAGATGTGGCTCCACAGCCTGCTTTTTCTGCCACTGTAGAGTTGAATGGTGGCCCCCCAAAAATATATGTCCATATCCTAACTTCTGGAACCTGTGAATGTTACCTTATTTTGGAAAAAAGGTCTTTGTGAATATAATTAAATTAAGGGCCTTGAGATGAGGAGGTTATCCTAGCTTATATGAATAGGCCCTAAAGTCAATGACAAGTGTCCTCACAAGAGAAGACACAGACACACAGAGAAGGCAATGTAAAGACAGAGGCAGAGACTGGAGTGATATGGCCACAAGTCAAAGAATGCATGAAACCATCAGAAGCTGGCAAAGGAGGGAAATGAATTCTCCCCCTCAGATTCCCTGGAGGTAGCACTGCCTTGCCAAGTTTTGGACTTCCAGCTTCTGGAACTGTGAGATAATACACTTCTGTGTAAGCCACCCAGCTTATTGTAATCTGTTACGACAGCCCTAGAAAACTAATACAACCACCATGTTATATGCCCCTGCTTCCCTCTCTTCACCACGAAAGCATGCTGTATAGATAATTCCTTCTGGTGAAAGATTTTCCTGAATGCTGTGTCTGCTAATAGCTCTTCACCTCTACAATTATCTACTGTTTATATTCTACCTAGCTTTTATTCTATGTCAATGCAGTCTTTTTCCAGTTAAAATAATAAGTGCCTTCTGGCCTATTCAAAATATATTTTATACACTAATTAAACTAGTAAAAATAATATGGAGTCTATTTGCACTTGAAAATGTAATTTATTCTAAAATTACTACTCTGAAAACATCCTAATATTATAATTAAGAAAGCAGTTGATGTTATATGTGATTATATATTTAATAAATGCTTTGAAATTTTTAATGTATACTGAGTATTTCAAATATTCCATAACATACTTTGCATTGACAACTCTTCTTGAAAATTATTATTTCAATACAATAGAATAATAGAATATTTACATTATGTTATTTCACAGAGGTGATCGTTGTCAAAGGTACAAACTTCCACTTATAAAATAAATAAGTCATAGGGATATAAACAGCATGGTAACTATAGTTAATAAAATTGTATATTTGAAAATTGTTAAGAGAGAAGATATTAAAAGTTCTCATCAAAAGAAAATAAAATTTGTATCTATGTGTGGTAATGAATGCTCACTAGACTTATTGTGGTAATCATTCTTCGATATATACAAATACTAAATCATTGCATACCTGAAACTAACATAGTGTTCTATAGCAATTATACCTCAATTTTTTAAAATGAGCTTACAAGACACATATACAAGTTCACTCACATGTTCATTCCTCACCCCAAGAAAAAAAGAAAAAAGGAAATTCTTTCTAATCCTATGTGATACTATGCTGGACAGTTTCTCTTTGTCCCTCTGCATCTACGCCTTACCCTTCTCATCCTCCTCTAGGTTCCAGTGTTGACCATAAGCACCACCCAGCCTCTCACATGTATCTGATTTAGATGATAAGACTTGAGACTTTGGAGGTGATAATATTTAGATGACATTTTGGATCTTACCCACTGCATTCACATCAATTGCTTGCCCTTGCCCAATGGTTGTGGGTGAGTTCAGTTGGTGGGAGGCCTGGCAGATGGGAGGCAGGAAGAGAGTGAGGTCAGGGTATTTATTTTTTCTTCTCCCTCCCTCCAAGACTGAAGGGCCATCAGTGGCAGAAGGCCTAGAGGGAACAGCAGCCTGTTGGAAACCCCTTGTACAGAGGTACAGTCTCTCCAGGTGCTGCTCACTCTCCTCCCCTTTCAAGTCTTGGGTAAGGAAACTATACCCCTTCTCATGATAGCCTGGTGCCTCCCATCCCTTATTTGTTCTCTTAACCCTGTCCACACGTTCATAACTCTTGTCTTCAGTAAACTCTTTCAACCATCCCTGCTGTCCTCTGCCAGACCCTCTTGTAGCTATTGAGTGTCTCAGCTGAAAACCTCATTCTCACATCCTGAATAATTTCTTCCCATTGATAAAATTATTCCAAGTTTTCAAAAAAAACATCTAGTTTAAAAGGATTACAACTGACTAGGAATGGTGTGGGGTGTGTTTTCCACCCTTCAAAACAACAAAAACAAAAGGCGTTAGCTTGGGATGATTTTGTTCCTCTCAGATACTTTGGCCACAAGTGACTCTTGTATCGGAATGGTCTGGGTTCCACAATACCTGGCATCGCCATCACTGGTGCATTCGGGGAAGGCCAGGCTGCAGCCGAAAAGCATGATATGTTGATAGCAACTGAGGTGATGCAGGTACATGAAGAACTTGAGGAACTTCTCGATTTCCATGTTTTCGACAAGTGAGGAGAGAGGTGTGAGGGAGGTGTGGTAGGGCAGCATCTGACACTGGCTGTGGGTGATGTTTACACAGGCCCCTGGGAAGTCAAGATGATGACATTTAGGAACAGACACAGCAGAGCTATATGTTTATGAACTCATTTGATATGATAGACTAATATATCCATAAGATAAAATATATCCCACAAGCAAGAACGTTTATAGATATATAAGCAGACATGTACATGCATACATATGTGTATGTGCACATGTGTGCATGCATATGATAATGAAATCAATATATTAATGAATATATTCACAGAGGGATAGCATTTGTGTTACAGGAAAAAGTGTGAAATAATACACTCTCTCATCTAGCTGGTGAACGATTAAGTTGGAAATCACGGTTTTGGATCACATCTGGGCAGGGCAATGTATTGTACTTAAAAATTACTTCAAATATGTATCTTTGACACTGTAATATTTCTAAAAATTTATCCTAACATAATAGTCATACATGTGCACATGGATTTATTGATAGGGATCCTCATCTCTGCATTGTTTACAATTTTTAAAAGATAGTGTCTCCTAAACATTCAACAAACGCAGTTGGTTTAAAATTTGGAACAAAAAATACATGAAATAAACAGAATATTTAGTTATATGAAAGATGCTTTAGAAGACAATTATGTACATAATATAATAAGTAAAAATAGGAAGTCTCAAAATAATTTGCATACTATGATCCCATTTTTAAAAATACATGATTGCACAAGGATTTCCAATCCTGCCTATGTCAACAATTCAGGGTCAGTTTAGCCTCTGATTTCACTTGGCTCGTCTCCAGGCAGTACCACCTTCACAGCCCTTCCTTCTCTTTTATTCCACATATTTACATGATTGGCCTAATACAAATCAAAATATTAATATGGGTCCAGTTGATTGGATTTTAGGAGATTGTTGTTTTTCTTATTCTGTATTCTCTTATTGTTTATATAGAGATTTAGTACTCCTACTTTGAAAAGGAGATAATTAAAATTTTGGCTATTATTTAAGCCAGCTGCTATATAAGGGCAAAATCTGCACACTAGACCCTAGAATAGACGTAAAAAATTTAAGGGCACAACACTTTTTTGCACCTCATCAACTTACAATACAAAATAGGAAAGAATGAAATTAAAAAGAAAATCCAAATTAAAATATTCAGACAGAACACAAATAGACATATTTACATTAATTCAACCTCAGACAAGTGCCAAGGTGGGTAGTGCTGGGCAAGTTTCATGAATATGACACTCAAGTTATTTAATGAGATTAAAACACATTTCAGGGTGGGAGAGCATTATAGGCAGTGAGAATGTACAGATAGTACACTTTGAAAGGACACATATCAAACTACAGGAAGAGATGCTTGCCTATAAGAGCTAAGAGTAAGTTTTTCTCCATTAAAAACACGAAATCGTTTGTGGACAATTCAGTCTCAAGAAAACATTTTTGAAAACCAACCTTGTGCCATGCACCCACACAGGCACTCCAATTCCTTCATTCATGATTCTGTCACTTTCACAACCCAGTAAAGTGACATCAAATCTGGATTACACTTGAGGAAACTCAGTTTTAGAAAGGCTAAATCATCTGCCCAGCTCCCCATAGCTGTTATGTAGACATTCCAGAGCTTCACACCTATGTCTCCTAAGTAAATTCCAGCTGGAACCACCCTAGGCTAATACAAAGGGAGGTATTATGTTAAAAATAGTACTTAAAGGATAATTCCTAGTGGCCCATGAAAGGAAGACACTAAAAAAGCATGTAATGATATGTCACAAGGTCTACAGTTTATATTCATAGATAATACATCCATGTATACTGAGCACATGTTATAATACATTTTATATTACATTGTTTTCTCTAGGGTTTATACACTTGGTAATAAACCACATTTGAAGTGATGAGATGATGAACAGGTTAATTCACTCCTACCTAGCCAAAAAAAAGAAAAAACACTGAATATTGAGAGATTATATGAAAAATACAAGATAGTAAAAAAAAAAATCATATTCGCTTGACTATACTATGTTTGTGGTGGTGGAAGTTACACAAAAGAAAAGAAAAAGATTACTTTCTTCTCGAGGGACAGCAATAGTTCCCCAAAGAACCCCTTCCAAAATGCTCCTGCGTCTCTTTATACATCATCACACTTTAGTTTCATTATAGCATGAACACTACTGATCAGATCTTGCTTATATAGTTGTTTATTCCCAATATTCTCCCACATGACAGTAAAGACTTCGTCTTGTCACTAGAAAACACTGGGATACCAAATAGCAGGTACCCAATAGTTATTCACCAAATGAATGAGGAGATTAAATGGAACAGGCTTCACACTAAAAGGTGTCTTATTGAACAGGATGGAAATGGACATGAAAAAACCATTACAGCTGAGACCCAAGGGCACTGCTGATGATGGCTAATATTGCTACTATTGTTTTTAATAATCCATTCCCTAGGACCTACATGGCATAGGGAGTCATCCTATCCTGTTCTCTCCCCCAGACTGATTCCTACCTCTTACTCACCCCTGGACTCCTATGCAGCAATTGAAAGTAAAAGAGAAGCTGTCCTCCCTGTCCTCTGAAAGGCATACCTTCAGCTTTCCATGAGCATGCTCAGTTGTGTTTAGCACAAGACCTCACCATAGTAGACATGAAAGGAGGATGTGCTTACAAGTTATAAAGGCTGGAGACAGATGAATAGATGAATACATGTACACTAGAAAGCTGCAAAGAGAATGGAGGTAAGAAATGATGGATGTAGCTGGCAAGAGCAGGAGTAAATGCTGGAAGCTATGAGAGTCAAGTACAAGCTAGTTATTCGAAGACAGAAACCAAAGCCAGGAGGCGACATTGAGCCTGGGCCCAAACTCTGGTCCAGCCAGAGTTTGGGGATCTTGGGGTACTGTGATCTTGGGGTACTGTGATCTTGGGGAAATGACTTAACCTCTTAAAACCTCCTCATCTATAAAACAGAAATAATAAGAGTGTTAATCACAGGATTGTGAGGGTCAAATCTGTCGGTGGAGGTTAAGAAACTTAAAGCAACAGCTTCATACGGCTGACCTTCAACTGATGTTTCAACAGCACAGGTACCTTCACTAAGAAATACGCACAATTCAGAGAGGATAGGATGAGGTAACTGCTATAAAAGCCTAAATAAACCATTTGTAACTATTCAAGTTGTCTCTTAATGTAAAAGATACTTTAAAGTTCATTTCCACTTTCTGTTTTACAGTAAGATAAAACAACTTAAAGACAAGGAGATAGATAAAGTAGGCATGAGTACCTTCTAGGCTGAATGCTTGCTAGGTACTTTATATACAGCGCTTATTTAACCGTCCCACAATCCATAAAAGATACTTTAAAGTTCATTTCCACTTTCTGTTTTACAGTAAGATAAAACAACTTAAAGACAAGGAGATAGATAAAGTAGGCATGAGTACCTTCTAGGCTGAATGCTTGCTAGGTACTTTATATACAGCGCTTATTTAACCGTCCCACAATCCTATGGGGAAGCTGTGGTTTTTTTCTCCCATTTTACAGATGATGAAATAGATTCAATGGAGGTGAGAAAGTAGTCAAGCTTACACAGATGTTAAGTTGTAGAGGCAAAACTGAAACCAGATCTTCTCATCCCATGACCTATTCTTTTCCATTGTATCATTCTGTCAGAGATACTATTCCATTTTAAACCTTGTAAATTTACTTCATTTATTATAAAATATTTTGATGAAGCTCGTTGGATTTCAGCAATAGAGCTGCTTCACCACGATTGATAAAACCTAAACCTTCTCAAAGAAAACAATGAATTGGCTATTAAAACTAGTTACCTATCCTCACTGAGGAACCTATCGGACTGGGAATCCTTGGTGTCTATTCCCAGCTGTACCATGAGGTCAGCCATGGTCAGGACTACATCAGCAGAGTAAAATAATGAAGGTCATTCATTATTATAGATAACTGGCATATAAAGTAACATTTTGCCAAAACGATTTCTGGGACAAACCAGTTTGAAAGGTATCATGTACTTAGGAAGATCCATAAAAGGGTTTCAGTAAAATTAGAACAGAAAGCTGATGACAGAGTGTCTCTGTGAAGATCTTGGCTTCTTTACTAACTCTGTAAACTTATCTTTCAATCCAAATATGGTAACAATTTTATTTCTTATAAGAAAATGAAGGAGACAAAAAGTAAGATACATTTTCTTAATGAGTCAATTGTGACATATGTAAAAAATCTTTACAGACACAGCTGGGCACAGGTAAGCCAATGTCATGTTAATTTATGCAAAAAAATACGTAACAGTAGTTTAACACTATCTAAATTAACAGAGTTAAGTAACAGCTACTCTTGTCAGGAGAAGCAGGAGGTGTGGGGTTTAATGCTTCTATATAAGTACATATATTCCAGACAACATTTTTAATGCAATCTCAAATCTCTTGAAGTCTTGCCATGTTTTAAGCTTTCACATCTTACATATGTGTGTAGTTATATAGTTATACGTTTATATTTATATTTAAATATGTAAAACTAGGTCATTCTCTCTTATCATTTATATATACACATCCATACTACTTGATTCTATGAGGTCTGAATGGTAGTTAAAGGCTCAACCTGATGTAATTCATTCATTCAACAAATATCTCCTGTGAAAATGCTTTAACACAGGGAGGGATCAATATTTTATTATAAATTAATTATTCAGATTCTATAGAACTAAGATGTAACATTTCAGCTGTCACATCTTCATCTGTCAGTCATTTTTCATTAATTTAAAAAGAACTCCATCTTGTCTCCAAACAGTTATCTACCTTAGAATGACAAAAGATTGACTAATAACAATAATTTCAAGTTTGTAAAGCACCTTTTCCATACACAGCATGTTGGTTCTATATAGTCTGATACAAATCCTGCTTTTATTATTCTCTGTTTATGTATCCTTTGACAAGCTATCAAACTTCTCTGTCAGTTTCCTCATCTATAAAAAGGGGATAATAGTATCTGTGATACAGGGTTAATAATGTGAGGATGAAATGATGTCTACA